ACACAAATTCACATAAATGTTATATCTTCCTATTAGCCTACCTTAGGTATCAATTAAGTAATAAGTAGCTTTTAACACTTTGTAGTACCCTTCATCAATTAATTTAATCCTAACAACCACCGTATGCGGTAGCTATAACTGAATAAAATATGAAACTTAGGGTTAAGTAGGTTGAAATGACTTCCAACTCACAGTAGCAAGTGATGAGGCTGTGATTCTGACTTCAGATCCTGAGTTCTAAAATACTAGATCTACTGAATCACAATATAATCTTTCCATCTATAAGTTGCTATAAAATTGTACTGAAATAATCATGTGGTGTTATGTATCATAATTGCACTTATTCTTTTTTTAAAAAAATATTTATTTTTTAGTTGTAGTTGAACACAATACCTTTATTTTATTTATTTACTTATATGTGATGCTAAGGATTGAATGCTGGGCCTCATGTGGTAGGCGAACATTCTACCACTAAGACACAACTCCAGCCCCTGCATTTATTCTTAATTGATATAAAAATGGAAAAGGTAGTAATAGATCACTCTAAATTGTGGTTGTAACAGAGTTAAGGTCATTTTGTGTTTTGGATTAACAGTGATTTTTTTTTAATGCAAGAATTACATTCATGTTGACCACATAACTCTGACTAATAGAGGGAGAACTATGTCTTAACACTGAACCATGGCTGGTTAGAGCTAAATAAACCAGGCTCTGGACATTCTACTGCATTAAAACCATATAAAGGTCTCACCTATATTGGCATTAAGTATCAACACTTAGGGATCAAAAAATCTTATTACATAGATCTTTATTGAACCCTAGTAAAGAAAAAATATTATAGTATTTATGAAAGATTGTAAAACAGACTTTATTCAAAGGGGGCCATGGAAATAGGTACAGAGATCACTGCAATGGGGTCTTGTAGTGAAGGAGAGAGATCAGACTCTATTCTGATTCTAATAAAGAGAAATAGGGATTTATAAGCCTGGAGCTGAGCGGGGGTCAGGATGAAAAATTTCTAAAATTAAACATTAAAGATGAGGGGTTTCTGGCTAAATAGACTTGATAGTATTATTGCTAAAGGATCATCAGAGATTGAGTGTGGTGAGATTCTAAGGGCTAGAGATTTTCACTAAACCGACTTAGAGAATTCTTGCTCACACTAGATTCTACAATGACTTAGAGGGAAGCTCAGGGTCAGGACTCCTCAAGAGAAGAACTAAGAAAAGCCTGACTAAAGTTTTAATCAAAGGAGAGAATAACTATCAATCCTATCCAAGGTCACTGCCACTGAAAAGAGACTGCATTTGTGCATGTTGTATTAATTTTGCTACACCTGGGGCAGAGATTATGAAATAATCACTTTTGTGTCCCTATCACCATCATCACTACCATGTAACAATTAGTACCAGGCCTTTAGTATAGTGGTGATTTATGCTTAATTGGACATGACTTTAGAGAAGTTACTCTTTAATATGTTGTTAAGCCTTCTTTACAATCAAGCCTTCTTTACTTTGAATAGTCCTAAAACAAAAGAAAAAGCATTTCAATCCTAGATGAATGATATTTTGAAAATATTCTCTTTCCTTTTTATTTACTTTCCTTTAGTACAATTCTGTTTCAGAGAAACTAGGTATTTGCTATAGGAAACTTCTTTTTTTCAGATGTATCCTGACAACTGGGAATAAAAGTAGAATATCACTTTAGAGCCAATGTTAATTGTGTGTTTGAGAATTGTGAAGGGATTCAGGTTTTAGAAAACTAATTGCAAAGGTTTATATAAAATGTCAAAAACCCAGTCAGTAGCTCAAAGGTTAGGGTTTCATGACAGATTTTAAAATAAGAAGGATATTGTTTTGTGATCATAGATGTAGTTTATTTTCTCCTGTACTCCTTTTTTCCTTTTCATTCCTATTCTACCTGAAAAATGTGATCAATGTTAATTTTTACACTTTTTTTTTCTTTGTGGCCCTGAAACAGAAACTATATGGAAATAAATATGCTAATATGTTTGGAAAATAAGAAGTAATTAACCAAGCCACTGAATGAGACATTTTATTTAACTCAAAATATTATTGGTCATCCCCTGCCCTCTACTTATTTTTTCTTTTCATACAAGTTCTTCCTATGTCACTTGAACTGGCAATCTCCTACCTCAGCCTCTCCAGTAGCTGGCCTTACAGGCATACACCTCTGTGCCCAGTTCTCCCTTACCCTCCTAATTCCCATTTTCTTCCTTTACTCGGAGCATCAGGAAATACGAGTTTTTTACTTTCATTGTTTCCAAAATATTAAGATAACTAGAGTAGAGTCAGAAAAAGAGGAAAGACTGTCTTTAAGCAAGTCTATGGTGGCCAGTAGATGACACTTGCTCTGCAAAGCCTGACCTCTGCAACCTAGGGATTAGATGTAATACTTGCAGTCAAAATATTAAGAATCTGACTAAAAATAATACTGGAACATATTTTAAGAACTGAAGCGCAAAGACATTGTGTTTACTTTTTAAAAGTCGATTAAATGTTTCTTGTTAAGATTTCACTGTTAGGTAGTGTGTAATGAAATAGTAATATTTTCATTGTCAAGTTGTGAATTTCTATATTACTTTTCAGGAAGACTAGATTCTGCTTTTTTTTAATTTGTTCCAGCCATTTCCATTTAGTAGCAGCGAAATTTAGTAGCAGTGACTTAAAGGTAATAGGTGAGGAGTAGAGGGTAAAGGGGAATTGGCCATGTATTGACAATTATTGAAATATGTTTCTCTAAGTTCTTTATTTTCTTTAGAAATAAATTAATTAAACATAATAGGAGTGAAATACTAGATGCTTTTTTCTTGAAGTAGACACAGCAATAGATAAAGGCACCAAATTCTAAGTCCCTATTCTATCTTCTGCTCTAAAAATACCAAACAAACCAGTGTTCAACCAGTTCAACAAGAAAATGTCATTCAGGCCAACTGACTAATGCACCATCTAGCCTGCTTTTTTTTTTCTTTCTTTTAATATTTTTTTAGTTGTTGATAAACCTTTATTTTATTTATTTAATGTGGTGTCTCACACACACCAGGCAAGTGCCCTATTGCTGAGCCCCAGCCCCAGACTTCTGGCCTGCTTTAATAAGAATAAATCATATATAAGCCTTAATGTATGACATCAAAAACAACTTTATTCTATAGATAGTTTATTCAGATACAGCCCAATCTCCATGCTACCTGAAAAAATATGGTTGATGTTAATTTTCACTGACTAATATTTGTTAAACTTTACAAATATAGTTAGAGCAGTGATACAGGCTTTTCCATATTTATCTTCCTGAATGAACTATGACATTGACATTCACCAATTTTATTCACATAACTATGGAAGTCATATTCTGCTAATTCCCCCAATTGCCCCTTTTCATTTGCCTTGGCATAAAACTAAGGTGTTGTCAAATATCTTTCAAAAAAAAAAAGAGAGAGAGAGAGAGAGAATTGATTCGATATACATAGCTGTCATGAGTCTAATTTCACAAGTTCATTTATTTAGATCACTTCTTTTTCTGCCCATCTTTTGTGCTGAAAGGCACAAAAATTATTAAAAAATTATTCTTTCTCCATTAGGCCACATTTTAGGTTGTCCACAATTTGTTGGACTTGTTACTTGCCATGTCCTTTTTAGCGTCAACTTATTTTCTCATTCTTTCAATTTTCTTAGCCAATTTACTAGTCCATATTATCAATAATGTTAGAGAAGTATATGTATCTAAAATTTTATAAATCACAAATGGTATAAATTTGAGGAGTCCAAATAACTGTGACAAACTTCACTCATAACTACACCCAACAAAAAGTTCTCCCTTTCTTAATCCTCTAACTACATTTTCAGAGAGGGCAGCATTACATTATCTTGCCATCTTGCCTAGCTGTATGGCTCTAGGTTTTGTCATTTTTATCTGTTTTTTATTTGTCCTTTATTAGGAAAACTTCTTGCTATAGGGAAAATCCATCTTTCTGGTATATTTGAATACACTTGATATACAGGAGATACACAGGATACCCAATACACACGAGATAAGGTAGCCCAAAGTCAAAACTAGTAAAGACTTTTGGAATCGTTATAAATTTTATCTCTCAAATGCATTTTTAAAAGTCATAATAAAATGTAAATCTTTTAAGCATTAATGATAGCTTATAATGCTAAGATTCTCTAGAAGCAATAGTGAAGATGGGACTCTCAAGAAAACACTAAAACTACCATACACTTTGACTTCAAAGATAGAAACGGGGAGAGGATTGGCTAATAATCAAAAGAAAGGTAAGGGGGAAAGTACAGGGAAAGGCCACCTTAGCAGCAGAACAGTAAGGACCAGTCACGTCCACTGTTTTTAGTTTTCCAACCATGTTCCATTCCCAAAGATTTCTCCTAGTGGTCCAAGAATTCTTCCTTCCTTGGCTGCCACACCCATCTTTGAAAGAGCTGGGAGTGGGGCTGTGGTTGTGGCTCAGCAGTAGAATGCATGCCTAGCGCGTGCGAGGCACTGGGTTCATCCTCAGCAGCACATAAAAATAAAAAAATAAAGGTACTGTGTCCAACTACAACTAAAAAGTAAAAAGAGAGAGAGAGAGAGAGAGAGAGAGAGAGAGAGAGAGCGCGAGCGCGAGCGAGCGCGAGCTGGGAATGCTTCTGTCTTAGGACCTTTACTGTTCTAACTCCCCTCAACTCCTCCACATACCTCCAGATAATCAATAGGCCTGCTACTTTCTTAACTCTTTCAAACTTTTGCTCAAATGTAATTTTCCCTCTAAGGTCAATATTTAAACATTGACACTCTTCAAGCTTTTTCCCACTTCTTATTACCTAATGTGAATTTATGTAAACCTACTCCAACCAATTTACTACATCCCATTTGGAAACCCTTGCCTGTCGTTTCTTTAAATCCTGCCTGAAAGGGGAGTGGTTAGGGGGAGGAGCTAAGTTAAGGACTCACCGACCAGAACAACCCGCTCCTTAGGCTCCGCCCACCTGTGTCATCAGCTGCCGGCTGTAGAACACCGAAGACACTCCCCTCTTAGACGGCTCCGGAAACGCCTCTGTCAGCAGGTTCAGCACGTGGTCGTGACGTCAGCGCGCCCGCGCCAGCCGGCCTGACGCTCCAGGCTTCCGCGTGATCCTGGTGGAGTCACGTCTGCTTCACACTAAGGTGTTGCTGTGATTATTATTATTATTTTTTTTTTGTCCAGACCTCCCTTTTGTGCCTGGTCCTGGACGCTAAGATGTACCACAACAGCAGCCAAAAGAGACATTGGACTTTCGCCAGTGAGGAGCAGCTGGCGCGTCTGCGGGCCGACGCCAATCGCAAATTCAAATGCAAAGTGGTGGCAAACGGGAAGGTGAGGTCTCTGGAAGCCACCCGCTCAGCCCCGGCCTCAAAACTTTAAGCCGCTGCGGGAGCTCTTTCGGGTTCCAACACAGCCTCTCACTCCCGCTTCCGCTTCCGCCTCCGCCTCCGCGGTGCGGAGTGTGTTTATCCAATAAGTAGGCGAGCACTGTGCCAGGCTCGGTGGGTACGGGGACTAGCAACGCAGTCCCCACAGTAGAGAGGCAGCTGACTACGTCTTGTAAAATGGCGAAGAACAGACCATAGATGCTGAGGCAGTGGAGGATAAGAGCCTTTTACTTGTCAGAGATGTCGGGGAAAGCTTTTCTCAGTAGTTGATGGGAAGAAGATGGGAAAAGAACATGCGCGACAAACAGCCGCATTAGTAGAGTGGAAAGTCAAAAGCTGCATGGCAGGTGCATAGAATTTTTGAGGACGTTTGGCTGAAACTGAGTACCTGTGCAGCAATAGCCTAAATAGGCAAGAATTTTTAAGCCCACAAGTAAGAACTTTGAAATTTATACAGAAACTATGGAGAACTTTTGAAAGATTTTAAATGAGAGGTTAATCATATCACGTCCTCATTATAGAAAGAGCCCTCTGGCAACCTGGAGGTGAATGGATTTCTTGAGGGGAGTAAAACAGGAAACCTTCAAACCATTTGACTGAAGATGGTTTGCAATGTACCTCCTAGCCAACTCCCTGTACAGCCCTCAGCCTCCTTTTTAATTTCTCTTACAAGTCTCCCTACCTATTCCATGCCTCCAAGCCTGTTGCTATTGAGCTCCTTTTACACTTAACTGATTTCATATTTTAGTACTTGTATTACTTTGTTAGGGATGGCTTTAAAAAAAATCTCCAAGAACTGGGAACTAAAATCAGAAATTTACGGAGACATTTGCTGTTTTAAATCTCAATTCGTGTGACAGTGATTGACAAAAGATGCTGGAAACTTTCCATCCATGAAAAACGTGTATCTTCTTTTGAATTTACAATTAATGACATTAAACCTGCAAGCATATACTGTATCATGATTGTTTATGTATTCATGAAGCAACGTCCAGCTTACATGTGAAATGGTATAGTTTTAGTTCGTCGGTATTTTTATAAAGATATTTTGTGCTATGCTTAGCAAATCTATAAAGAGAATGGTGGGTGGCATATTTTCCTTTGTTGCAGTTATAAACCTAATTTAATCTGAACAGAAGACAGTTTTACAATTAATTCACTGAATTTATATTGTAATTTCTGCTCTAAAGGTTCTTCCAAATGATCCAGTCTTTCTTGAACCTCACGAAGAAATGACACTCTGCAAATACTATGAAAAAAGATTACTAGAATTCTGTTCAGTGTTTAAGCCTGCAATGCCACGGTCTGTTGTGGTAAGTTATTATAGTAATGAAATATGATGTCCTTTACCTGGCTTATGAAATCTGACCTTTTCTAAATTTCTAAATTCCCTATTCCCTCTAATCTGAAAAAAAATCATCTTAGGTTGTATTTGTTTAGTTTTTATCATATCTTTCAATAAAACCCTTAAATTATGAGTTTCTGTATCATATCTTGTAAAGTATTTCAAATCTTATAGAATTTTGAGGTCTGGGTAAGCCATAATATCCTTATTTTATAGAGAAAGAAAAAGATACATTTTCTCTCCAGGTTCTCAACTAGTGAACAATAGAATTCGGAACAAAGATTAGTACTTTTCAATTCTATCACACTCAATATATGATTGGAATAATGCATTGGAATAATGCAATAATTAGTAATCATGTCCCAGTTGAAACTCATGCCATAAATTTTTTAAAACCTTCATTAGTAGAAGCTAGGGATTTATCTTTGATTTAGAAATTGTCTTCTGGTTGTTTCGTAGATACAGTTCTGAGATCCCTGATTGTTTTTGATGGGGAAGATAATGGTAAGGAGAAATAGGTAGCTTATATTAAAAAGCAGAATGACAGGGGCTGGGGATGTGGCTCAAGCAGTACATACAAATAAAGATGTTGTGTCCGCCGAAAACTGAAAAATAAATATTAAAATATTCTCTCTCTCTCTCTCTTTAAAAAAAAAAAAAAAAAAAAAAAAGCAGAATGACAAAGACAAAAGCCAGAGTGGAAGAGTGTGTAAAACATTTTTACCTTGCTTATTATCTCACGGGGTTTGTTGTGAAGCTCAAATACAAAAGTCAATATATATTAAGTGTTAAAGTTATGACCTAGTATAGAATCTCTCGTGAGGTGTCTTCATTTTTATAGTTGAAAAAAAAAATTGAAGTATATTAAAATATAAGTTCAAAAATATTTATGTTATTTCTTAACTCATAGATCTTTATCTGAGATATTAAAGATTCACAAAGAATTTTAGAATACTTTATTAGTTTCTATCTTGAAATTTGGCTCTTTGCTGTTAAAGGAAGTATAAAATGAAGTAGTAGGTATAAGTGATTTTAGGATGAAGAAGCAATCCTTAGATTAACTTATGTAGAATTTGTCTTTATGCAACATGTTTATGATTGGTGAAGATTTTTTTATATAAAATGACAAAATTTTTAAAAAATATTTGAAATGAATATTCTTTTTTTCTGTCATAAAAAAGATTAAATGGTTATTTCATTAGTTCTAGCCAAATAACATGTTTGTTAAAAATATAGACAGCTCTTCATTGAATTCAGCCCTATTCTTTATTAGTTCTCTGAATAAATCACTTAACCTTGTTGATACTCAGTTTCTTTTTCTGTAGACATAGTAATACTTCACCAAGTTGTTGTAAGGATTAAAATAGAATGATAGTTTTGTGCTTGGCACAGAGTGGGGCACATTTAGTAAATAGTAGATGCTGCTTTTACAGTTCATTTCAGCAGCAGTGATCACAGTTATATCTCAGATCTCCTACATCATATCTTATTGGATTAGTGGATTGAGAGCAGGTTTATTGTACCAACTATGATTTTCTGTTAGGACTTTTCCAACATTGGTTAGTTAATTTGTGACCATTTGTATTTTTCTGACTCTAGACATTTTTGAACTCCTTAATTCTAAAATAAATATACATGTTTTAAAATCCAGTGACCATAAGGATTACTTAGAAGGCTTGCTGTCAGATGGCCAAAGGGTGGGAAAGAATCTTCTAACTATGAAATTTTCATAATACTTAATCACAATTTATTTTGATTAAAGGAAAATTAGCAGTTATTGATATTTGTCTGGAGAGCATTTTCAGAGAAACCTTTGCACAAATAAGTTCTTTTTCACAAAATTTATCATGTATAATGTGCCAATAGAGCCTGATAATATATATATATTTTTTTTAACCTTAGGGTACAGCTTGCATGTATTTCAAGCGTTTTTATCTAAATAACTCTGTAATGGAATATCACCCACGGATAATAATGTGAGTAAAAGTTTGTTATTTTCATTAAAGACCTTTATACTGTGAATGTTTGTGTGTGAGGTATGTGTATATGTAAGAGACAGGGGCAGAGGGGCTAGGGAATTTCTCACTAAGGCAATTTAGATTGGCATTCATGTTTCATATTCAGAATTTAAATTCCTTATTTACTTTTATCTCCTATAATATAGATGGCATCTGAACTTGTCCAAATTCATATTATTTTTTTAATACTTTTTTTTTTTTTTTTTTTTTTTT